CATGGGAACCCAGAGGGAGGGACTCTGCCCGTACAGACACGCAGATGAAGGTTTGGCTGCCCATGGGCAGTGACGGCCCTGGGCAGCAGTGCCCTGTGCTGGTGCCATGACGCCATCTCGCCTGCGCTCAGGACATGCAGGCCCCCTCCGAAACACACACGTGTCCTCTGGACAAGGTGCGGAAGTCCTGCGTTGCACGCTCTCTCTTGTTACCAGGAATGTCCCCTTTCAAAGAGCAGCATGCTCAGCCATTTGCACTGGAGTGTCAGTCATTATCAGACCCTAGATGCCAGATGAATGCCGGGCCCTGCCCAGAATGACAGAGGACAGGTGAGGAGGGCCCTGGCCCTGGGCCCTGTGTCCAGGTGGCTCTGAGAAGGGAGGTGTCCTGGGTGGAGGTGGACGGTGGTCCGTCCCCAGCTCTTCCTCCTCCCTGGGGCCTTGGGCAAGCAGCTCTCTCCCTGGGCCGTAGCAACCTCCTGTGGACTGACACTGCCCCCCTATCCAGCTGGCACTTGGTGCCCCACCCAGGGTCCTCACGCCCCAGGGAGCCTTAGAGTCTCCTGGAGGCTCCATCCATCCCAGCTCAAGGCGGGCCCCACCCCCAGAGCCATCGGCAAGGAGCCCCCAGGAGTCGGGTCCCACATACGGGGCCCTTCCTCTCTCAGAATAGGGACCTCTCTATAGACTAGTTGGTGGGGTCCGACGGGGGGCTGGAAAGGACCCCAGATACAGGCTTGAGCGATTTCCCTCCCGTCACTGAGCAGACGAGGTACCTGTAAGGAAGGGGAGGGACGGCCTGCAGGGCTGAGGGCAGGCGGCCAGACTCGGCTCTGACCACTAACTGGTCTCACTGAGTCTCACATGAGATGACAGTGTCACATGCTGTCCCGCGCCAGGCCCTGCGCTCAATGTTTCATCCAAATCGCCTTCCATGATCTCCCCTGCAGGTCCGTGAAGTAGGTTCTCAATACCCGGTTTTAGCTTGCTGGGTGGGGCGGTGCACACCTGTGATCCCAGCGACTTAAGAGACTGAGGCAGGAGGATGGCAAGTTCAAGGCCACACTTGGCAATTTAGAGGCGCTGTCTCAAAATTAAAAGGTTCTAGGGCTGGTGATGTGGCTCCGTGGGAAAGTGCACACCTGGCATGCATGAGGCACTGGGTTCGATCCTCAGCACCACATAAAAATAAAAAATAAAGATATTGCATCCACTGAAAACTAAAAAGAAAATAAATATATATTTTTTTAAAATTAAAAGATTCTAAAGCACCCTGGGTTCAATCCTGGCTCCAAAAACCAAACCAAACCAAACAAAAACCCCACAAAAACCCACAACCCAATTTTATGGCTAAAGAACCTGTGGTAGATAGAAAAATGGACTCCAAAGACACCCACACTGTGCTCCCTGGGGTCGGCGTTGCCTTACATGGCACGAGGAAGTTCACAGATAGGATTCTGATATGATCTTGAGAGGGAGCAGTCATCCTGGATAACCCGGGTGGACCTGCCATAGCCAGCAAGACCCTCTTACGAGGGAGGTGGAGGGTCAGAGAGTCGGAGAGGTGACCATGGAAGCCAAGGCTGCAAAAACAGGGCCCTGTTGACACGTGCTGATGCCGTGTGAGCTTCACTTGGGACTTCTGACGTCCAGCATTGCAAGAAAACGTCTTATCCTCTTTTTGGCGGTGTACCAGGGATTGAACTCAGGGGCCCTCGACCTCTGAACCACGCCCCCAGCCCTATTTTGTATTTATTTAAGGACAGGGTCTCACTGAGTTGCTTAGCCCCCTCGCTTTTGCTGAAGCTGGCTTTGAACTCACGATCCTCCTGCCTCAGCCTCCTGAGCCGCTGGGATTACAGGCATGCGTCACCGCCCCTGGCCTATTTTAAGTCTCTAAATTTGTTGTAATTTGTTGCAGCGATCACAGAAAATTCATCCCAAACCCGAGTCTCAGCAAGATGCTGTGCTGGGGTGGGGCTCGGATGTAGCCCTTTCGTCCGCAGAGACTGCTCAGACTCCCAACCACAGTGACTCAACTACCCACCAGGCAGAGTCGAAGGCCCAGTGGTGTTACCATGAGGAGGAGGAGTTTCCTTGGAGTAGGCTTGGAGGAAATTTGCTGTTTTTAAATGTCGATGAATTGTTATGGCAAGAGGCCTGTGCTTGGCTCGGCACAGCAAAGCGTTTCCATATTTGGACCAACCCCGGTGATGAGCCCTGGCGTCTGGCGCTCTGTGGAGAGCAGGGTCTCAAGGCTGAGCCCAGCGGAGGGAAGGCAGTGGGGATGCGCAGTGCCTGCTCTGGCCGGCCTGGGCGGGGACTAGCGCTTGCTGGTCTGGACCAGATGAGTTTCCCCAAGCTGGGTCCTGACTCCGGCTCCCAGGGCCAGCAGTGAGCTCTCAATTAATGTTTGAGGGAGGGAGGGACGAGGAAGGAAGGGACAAGGGAGGTGGGAAAGAGAAATTAGTCTCCATGAAGGCCGGACCAGGGCCAGCGGGAGCTTCCCGGGGTGGGGGCCTCTGCTCTGCTTCTCAGCCTCTCTCCCCCCTTTTCTGATCCAGGCAACCCCTTCCTGTGGGCCTGTCTTTGCTCTGAGGCTGCTCTGACACATGACCGCAGGCTGGGTGGTGGCAGATGACAAACGTCTGTTTCTCACAGGTCACACTCGGGGCTGGACTCCAAGATCAAGGTGCCAGCAGACCCTGGGCCTGGTGAGGCCACCCATGGCAGGAGGGCTGAGGGAGGCTGTGAGGCCTTTTTTAAGGGCCCTGATCCACTTGTGAGGGCTCCACCCTTAAGACATACCCCTCTCAAGGATCCCCCTTCTAAGCCATGGCCTTGGCCTTGTGGGGAGAGCAGGGGTCACCCTCCCGCATTCCGTTTTGTTATGCCATCCCTGCCAATCACAGGTCCTCCCCTCCCATCCAGAGACAGACCTGTGTCCCCAGCACTCAGAGAGGGACAGCAGTGGAGTGACTTGGCCAGTGAAGAGGAAGTGGTGGGCTGGGTTCGAACCTGTCGCTGTGGCTCCCAAGCCTGAGCACAGGCCTCCTCACCCTGAGCATCTCCTTCAGGACCAAGAGCCAAAGGCCCGGAAGCCACCCTTCTGGGGCAGATGGGTCCCTGGCTGTTCTCTGGACGCCCTGCCCTGCGTCCCGCCCTTCCTCCCTTCCCGCGGTTCAGCCGGTGGAATTTCAATCAATACCTCCGTCTGCACTTTATTCATTACTCAGAGTCCATTTCCCAGGTCGGAAACCTGAGAGCCCACACTGACCCGAGAGGGTCTCAGAAGGACAAGCGGGCGGCAGTCAGAGCCACTCAGCGCTGAAAGATCTCATCAGTCAGGATCTGAGGAAAGGCGGTGTCCCCAGGAGGGGTGTGTGCAGCCAAGCACCATGCGAGGGACAGTCGGGGCGCTGTGGCCAAGGAGACCTGGGGTGAGTCCCTCTCCTCTGGCTCTAGGACCCCCGAAAGTCTTTTCACTCTCTGAACCTCAGTGTCCTTCCTATGAAACCAGACAATGAGCACATGTGCTTATAGGGTCCCCGCGAGGACCGGGATCAATCCTGCACCGCGCCAGACACAGGGAGACTTCTTGCTCTCCAGGGCGCCACAGTGATATCTGCATGTGATACTCAGTACCAAGAGCCTGCCACTTCCCGGCCACAGCCCTGGGAGCTGCAGAGTCCCCCGTTTGATGATTTGCTCTCACTGCCCAGAGGAGAAGGCTGAGTGAGCCCCGCTGCTGAAGGGGCTCTCAGCTCCCACCTGCCAAGCTGCGCAGTTGAGGGTCCAGGTGGAGGGGGAGCCCCACCCGAGGGAAATCCCACCACCAGGGCAGAGTCCATGGTCCAGGGAAGGCAGAGTCCATGGCCCTGGACAGGACGGCTCCGGCAGGGAGGGCACCTCCGCCTGGATTTCAGCCCATATCCAGTGTCTCCAGAAGCCACCGTCCTAATCCGGAGGCCCCAAGGAAGCAGCGATTTCCTGGGAGAAAACAGGTTCCCACAGGTTTTACCTTCCTCCTGTCAGACTTCCAGGTACCGAGGGACTGTCCCCACCCACACATACACAAGGGAGGCCAGGGCTGCACAGACTCAGAGGGGAGGGGCCGCAAGACACCTCTGCCCCCACACTCTTGTTTGTAGCCCACATAGGGCAGGGACTTCAGCAGGTCCCTGAGAGGAGGGTGGCAGAAGCACAGCCAAGGTGCAGGCCTCCCAGCTCCCAGGCCGGGCTAAGCACCCAATCCAGTTTCTCCCAGACAGGACAGTTCTCCAAGCCCCACTCCTGAGCCACCCCTGGGCCCCTTCTAAAGACCACCACCATGGAACAATGAAAAGAAAGAGCCTGAGTCTCCAGCTCAGTGAGACTAATTCCTGTGTGATTTGGGTGAGATCCTCCCGTCTCTGGGCCTCAGTTTCCACACTGATAAAAACGAGGCATTTGGATTCCTTTTTTTTTGGTTAGTACCAGAGATTGAACTCAGGGACACTCAACCACTGAGCCACATCCCCAGTCCTATCCTGTATTTTATTAGAGTCAGGGTCTTGCTGAGCTGCTTAACACTTCGCTTTTGCTGAGGCTGTCTTTGAATTCTCCATCCTCCTGCCTCAGCCTCCTCAGCAGCTGGGATTACAGGCGTGCACCACCGCGCCTGGCTGGATTCCATTTTTAAGAACTCTTCTGGCTCCATTGTTCTGGGAGCCCAAGGTGCCCTTATCCTACCCCCAAGTTTCTCCGATCTCTCCAGAATCTGAGAATCCAGACAGAAGAAAGATTTGGACGAGGCTTAGATGGGCATGAGGGTAGGGACTCTGACCATTTCCACCCTCTGCTAAGCCAAGAAGCCAGGCCTGCAGGCCAGGTGGCGATCACAGGAAAAAGCCATCCCCTACACAGGAAGGGAGGAGTTGCCCCTGGGGGAGGAACAGATTCAGAATCCAGAACTCAGAACCCAGTTAGGGCTTCAACTCCCCTCCTTCTTCCCAACCTACCTGACTCCACTCCCAGAAGTCGGTGGCACTGATTCAACCTGGCCAGGGAGCTGATTGTCCAGTGGAGACTCAGAGCTTGGCGTAGAGGGCAGGGAAGAGACAGGGTAGAAGAAATGTCCTCAGCTTGGTCTCCTGAGTCTACAGCCAGGGGACTTCTGGTGATGGGGGCTGGGGTGTGCGTGGTGGGGGAAGCCAGTAGACCTGTCCTGCCCTGGCGGGCTGCTTCCCACAGTCCCTGCTAGGCAGACAGGCTCAAGGCTGGAAAGACACTGGGGTCAATGCTTTTCTTTTTCTACCAGGAAACTGAAGCCAGGGCGCTTACCACTGAGCCACATTCCCAGTTCTTTTTATTTTTTATTTTGAATCAGGGCCTTGCTAAGTCTCCGAGGCTGGCCTCAAACTGATATAGATAATGCTTTCATGAACCACCAGTGATCTTGAAATTATTTAAGTTACTACTTAAATTGAATAAATCAGAATTTAGTAGTGATGATAATGATAAAATAGAAAAGAGATGAGAGTGCATTCTGGGGTAAGAATAAACTATCTGGTCTAGGGCTGTGGCTCAGTGGTGGAGCACTTGCCTAGCATGTGTGAGGCCCTGGGTTCGATCCTCAGCACCACGTATAAATAAATAAATGATACAAAGGTTAAAAAAAAAAAAGAATAAACTATCAATTATCTTGTGAAACTTTTGTTTCAATTTTAAGCCTTGTGCCAGGTTGTGATGTGATGTATTTCTTACTCCCAGTCACAGTCACAAAACCTTGAAGTGGCACGGCTGCCTTAGATCATGCATCCGGCCTTCTGTCCACCAGCAGGAAACGGAGCCGGCCAGAGGCCCTGACCACCAGGCTGCAGCTCACCCTTCCTCAGCCGCTTGCCACACACCTGGCCATACACCCAGGTGACCCACCCGGCAGCTGCACTGGCTCCAGCCTCTTTCCTCAAATTCCTTTTCTCCCACTCTGACACCTAGGAGGCCTGTCCAACTGTCACCTGGTGGGGTCTTGTTAGTGGCTGCAGCACAGCTCTCACCCTCTTTTATTTTTATTTTTTAAGAAAGAGAGGGGACAGACAGAGAGAGAATTTTAATATTTATTTTTCAGTCTTTGGCGGACACAACATCTTTGTTTGTATGTGGTGCTGAGGATCGAACCCGGGGCCGCACGCATGCCAGGCGAGTGCGCTACCGCTTGAGCCACATCCCCAGCCCAGCGCTCACCCTCTTAATCTACTACTCAGTATCAGGGTTTGGCAGATGAAGGGGACCCTGGCCCCTCTGATTTATGGATGAATGAAAATGAGTGAATGAACAAGGGACTGAAAGCTGAATCGTCCCAGGTCACCAGAGTCGGCCTCTTTCCTCGAGGAGCTCAAACATGGGGGACAGGCTTATAAATCACAGTCCCCTGTGATAAGAGCCGAGGAACCACAACACCTCGGGCACCTAAGATGACGGGAATGGCCAGGCAGAGCTCTAGAGGAGGCTGCTGGGCTGGGCCTTCCCGGCAAAGGGCGAAAGCTCCCTGGGTGCTGCTGGGCCCTTTGTAGCACTTTTCTTCTTTTTAAATTTACACTTATGTATTTAATCCCCCCCCCCCACCGGAAATTCCATGGGATGAACCAGGCCTGCTGGGCTTTACCCCAGTGCTGAGCCTGAGGGTTTTGGTGTGGAATCCTGTGCATTAAATATTTACCAACCGAATATCCAGGCAACCACAGATGGCTCGGGAACACTCAGAGCACCCTGGGAAGAGCAGGGTCTTTCTCCTGCAGGCGGGGGAGCCATGGGAGGCTAACTGGGGAAAGAGACAGGAAGTGGGCTTTATCTTTAGAAAATTCCTCAGGCTCTGTGTTGGGGATGCTGCCTGGGGCTGGGCGGGTGGTGAGAAGTCAGGCTGTAATAACCCAGGGGACCTGGAGTCTAGGGGCAACCTGGCACGGAGGCATGTGTGTGCTGCAGGCGGGCTGCCAGGGCCTCGGATGGCCCCTCTGGGCACCCTCCCCTCCCACCAAGACTGGAAGGAGAGAGGCACTTGGTTCCTCATCCTGCCTGGCCTAGGGTAGCCATGGGAGGTGTGTACAAACCTTGTCACAGACTTTCTTTTTGATCAGCTCACATTTTAACACATACATTTATATATTTATATATTTTAAAAGTGAACATTAGGGCTGGGGATATAGCTCGCATGCACATGACCCTGGGTTCAATCCCCAGAATCAAAACACAAAAAAGTGAACATTAACCAGGGAGGCCGAGGCAGGAAGATCCCAAGTTTCAGGCCCGCTTCAGCAACTTAGGGGGACCCTACATCAAAATTAAAAATAAGCTGGGTGCAGTGGTCCACGCCTATAATCCCAGTGGTTTGGGAGGCTGAAGGTGGAGGATCGAGAGTTCAAAGCCAGCCTCAGTAACAGTGAGACACTAGGCAGTGAGACCTTATCTCTAAATAAAATAGGGCTAGGGATGTGGTCAGTGGCCGAGTGCCCACAAGTTCAACCCCTGATACTCCCCCCGCAAAAAAAAAAAAAAAAAAATTAATAAGGTTCGTGATGTAGCTCAGTGGTAGAGCCCCCCAGGTTCAGTCCTCAGTGTGTGTGTGGTGGGAATCTTAGAGTCATTGTGCTGCTTTCTATGCCCTATGTCTGGAGTATATTTAGTGAATATAATGTCAGTACCATGCACATACAAACATAGTAATTCTAAATTTTCAAACTTGTGGGCTGGGGCTGTGGCTCAGAGGAAGAGCGCTCGCCTAGCATGCATGAGGTACTGGGTTGATCCTCAGCAGCACATAAAAATAAAATGAAGGTACAACTTCATTTTATGAACAACTAAAAAAAATGTTATATATAAAAAAAATAAACTCATTAATTTTACCTAATTTCTATCCCCTGGCCAAGGCTCCCAGTCTGGGGGCTTTCTTTTGCTAAATAGGGAGATTGCTAAATAGCTGTTAGACATCCTAGCCCATTATTTTTTTTGGCCCAAATCAGGATTTGCTGAAATGTGGAAAAGATGTACAAAGTTCGTTTTAGGAGCTGCACCTGTGACCCCTAAAGCCAGCAAATAAGACCAGGTAGCTAAGGGTGCCCTCAGAGTCACAGACACAGAGATTTGGGTCTCCTCGCTGCCCCTTTGGGGACATGGCCCTTCAGGGTCAACTATTTCCACCATTCATCAAGGGCTCATCAAGGGCAAGCGCGGACTTCTATTAACACATCTAACGCTCACACTGAATGAACCGTTAAGACCCCCTTTTACAGGTGAGGAAACTGAAGCACAGAGAATCTGCACTAGTTGCTCACAAAGCCTCAAGCAACGCAGGGAGTCAGACCCGGCCACACCGCTCCAGAGCTGGCCTCACTACGCGGCTTGGAACACGCAGATTCTTTTTCGGACCGGGCATTGAACTCAGGAACCGACCCCTGAGCCTCCTCCCGTTATTTTGTAGTTTATTTGGAGACAGGGTCTCCCTGAGCTGCTCAGCGCCGCGCTGTTGCAGAGGCTGGCTTTGAACTCGCGATCCTTCTGCTCCAGCAGATTCTTTTTTTACAAGGCGAGTTCAATGCCCAGCACTTGGCAGGCGTCCGGCAGGTCGGCCGTCCTCAGAGGCTCGTGTTCCCACCCAGCGGCCACCCCAGGTTTGGGTACCCCAGATCCCCACTTTCTGGTCCGACAAGCCCACCCAGCCCACTGCGCGGGCCTGATTCCCGCGCTGGGATGTGACGGACGCAGGTGCGCGGGGACCCAGCGGGCGGCGGGCGGGGCAGCACTTCCCGGCAGGAAGGCGGGTGCGGGGCGGCCCTGGAAAGGTGCCCCGGGCCGGCGGGAAGGCACACGTGACGACAGCTGCTCGCCAGGGGCGCTCGGCGCGGCGCTCGCCTTATATGGGCAGGCGCGGAGCGGGGGCGGGGCCGGGGCGGGGCGCCCCACCCTGACGGCCACGCCCACCCGACAGCCACAGCCCCTGACGGCCCCGCCCCACCTTGACGGTCACGCCCACCCTGACGGCCCCGCCCCACCCTGACGGCCCCGCCCCACCTCCGGGACAGACTTCTCCGCCAGGCCGGGCTTCTCCGGACCGCCCCTGCCCAAACTGAGACCCGCTTCGGGCCCCGCCCTACAAGGACTCAACTTGCAGAAATCCGGCCTGGCCTTCCGCAGGCCCGGCTAGGACACCTACTCGCCTGGCGACTGTGCGCGTGTCTGCCGCTCACTCTGTCCCTGGCCGCAGGTCCTCGCTAGGTAGCTGGAGTAGCGGGGCTTGAAGGGCCTTTGGAGCACTCAGTTACCTAGCTTCAGGGTCGGTCGGGTGGTGAGCCAGCTCCAACCGAGTCTTCCCTTCAAGGGCGCCTTTTTATAACTGGCACTTTTGAAGTCCCCAACCTCGGGCTGTGCCCAGGTCCTCGCTAAACATGAACCTTGATCCATCAGAAGTGTGGGTTAACTGGACCCCTCTTGGCCTGGCAAGACTTAAATCATAAGAGGAATCCATCAGGAGGCAGCTACCAGGTTCCCTTGCCTCCTCTCTCCTCCCAGCTCTCCTTACAGCCTCGATCCATAAAAACCCAGGGCTGTCCAACTGCCCCTCTGCTACCTCCACTACACCCTGTCAGCCACCTTCAGGATAAATGTCAACCCTCAGCTCAGTACACAGGCTGTATGAATATCGAACGAGTTAATGTTTGTAAAATACTTCAGTCAAGTGTTTGGCATATAGTAGCTGCTCATGAAAAACTTGTGTTGAACAGATTCTTCTTACTGTACTCTAATCGCCCGTGCCTGTGCTGTGAATTCCAGGAGGGCTGAGCTCTTCCTTTTCCAACCCAGCATTTCCCATTTCCCCCATATCCTAGGTGCTGAGCCAGTGTCTGCCGGTGAGTCAATGAATCGCAGGAAGTGGGAGTGGGGGGTAAGAGGAAGTCCTTCACTGGGATGGCCACCAGCCCTCACATCTCCTGGGACATAGCACATTCTGACTTTTCCTCCATAGCTTCCCAGAACTTCATGGCAACCAGGAGGGTCAGAGGGTAGATATTGACTCTTTTCCAGATAAGCCTTTGAGGTGTCAGGAGAGAAGCAGCTTATCCACAGTTACACAATAGGAGGTGGAGCCAGCACCTCTGCCTCTTTTTTTTTTTTTCCAGGGCTGCAGAAGGAACCCAGAGCCTCCCACAGGCTAGGCAAACACTCTAGCTGAGCTCACTCCCAGCCCACCTCTTTTTTTTTAAATTGAACTCAGGGGCCATCGACCACTGAGCCACATCCCCAGCCCTATTTTGTATTTTATTTAGAGACAGGGTCTCACTGAGTGGCTTAGTGCCTCACTTTTTTGCTGAGGCTGGCTTTGAACTTGTGATCCCCCTGCCTCAGCCTCCCAAGCCACTGGGATTACAGGGCTTTGCCACTGTGCCCAGCCTCAGCCCACCTCTTGTTTTTAGTTTTGTTTCTGTGATGCTGGGGGATGGAACCCAGGGCCTTCTACATGCTAGACGAGGGCTCTGTTACTGAGCCACATCCCCAGCCTGGGTACTTCCTTTAGCACCAAAGGTCCCTACACCAGGAATCCTTCTTTTCGGGCAAAATGCAATGGGTCATCCTAGATCAAATTCCAGTTTTAGCTCTGAGGACCTCCCCTCTCTCCTCTTCTGGGCAGGTCCCATTATTCCCAAGCTCTTTTCTGAGATCATGAGACCAGGAGACCATGCTGTCCTGCCTGAAGGCCCAGGAGACTCAAAGAAAATCATGCCTTTTCTGACCTCCCCAAACACTCAGGGCACGAAGGGGTGGGGACAGGAGCATTAGAAGGCCACAGGACTGGAGTAGGAGCTCCATTCACCTGCTCCTTTGCCAGGTCCTCTGCCCAACACTAGGAATAGAACAAAGGCCCTTCTCCGTCTGCTGGAGCTCCCAGTGGGAGGGATGAACCAGTGGACACAGGGTCCATGGTCAAGTTCATGGACTGCATGGGGAAGGAGGGATTAACCAGGGTTTCCAGGGCCCCCTCCTGACCCAGCCACTCACCAGCTGGCCTTAGGCCTGTTCGCTCCCTGGGCCTGGGCTTCTTCTGTCCACTGTGGAGTGGGAGCTGGTCTCTGAGGGCCTTCCTGCCCCGAGGTTCATGACCGGGGAGCAGAGTTATGGGAAACACAGCCCCTGGAGAGGGGCCTGGAGGCCAAGCCGCCTGAGTGGGTGGGGTGGCCCAGGGCCCGCGGTACAAACAACAGCTCCAGCACGGACTTCCCAGGCTGCCCTGGCCTCAGCTGCCCAGCTGCTGCCCCCTGCCACATCCTCCTGGGCCACTGTTCCCCACAGCCCACAGGGGGCTGGGCTGGGCAGGGAGGGCCTGGGCCTGGCCCAGCGGAGCCTCTGCTCCCTTCCGTTTGCTCAGGAGGAGGCCTGAGAGTTGCAGCCCTGAGGGTGGCGGGGCTGAGTCCTGGGTAAACACTGAGGCACTGTGTAGCCAGTCCCCACATGTGGCCAGGCCACTCTAAAGTCATTCCCGGGCTGCATGGAGTGCCCAGCCGGTGCAAGCACAGAACAGAGGGCCTGAGCTGGGTCTGGGGACCTGGCAGGGACAGGGACCCCCTGAGGTACTAGGCCTTCCCTTGGGAAATTTCTCTCTCCCTGGACTTCCCAGATAACTTCATTTAAGAGCAACCCCAAGACTCCAAGTGGGAACTCAGGCCGCCTCTGGGTTCTCTCCTTTGGCTTGCTGGAGACCCCAGGCGGGGCCCTACTCTCTGGACTTCCACTGTGGCCTCCTGGTGAGACTTGGTGGCTCCCTTTCCCATCCCAGCACCATAGGGATCCTGGGAGGTGGGAACTGCTGATGTGGGATATGGTATGGAGACCCCTTGTCCTTCTGTTTCGCTGGGGAAGAGGACCTGGGGCTCAGACACAGTGTGGTGCCCAAAGTCACCTGGGAAGTGGCAGAGGTGCTGGGTCCTGCCAAGCTGCCTCAGTGAGGAGAGGGACCTGGCAGAGCAGCTCCTTGGCAAGGGAGTGGCCTCACGCGTTCATCCACCTTGCAGACTGCTGTGTCCCTCCTTGGCGCCCGCCCTCTGGAAGGGTGGGGACATGGAAGGTGCTCAGGGAGACATGCAGGAGGGTGGCGGGCAGGGGCAGAGGGCTGCCCTTCCTCAGAGTCCCAGTCAGGGCTGTGGCCTGGAAGGTGCACATTCTCAGATCCCACCCAGACCTAAACCTGAACCAGTTTCTTACTTTGGACTTGGGAGGTCTCGGGAACACCAGAATTTGGGGTTTGGAACTTTTGAAGGCAAAGGTGGAGGGGACAAAGCCAGGGCTGGAGGTGGGGCCTGCAGAGCCACCTCTGAGGACATTCCTGCCGCTCAGCCTGCCCTCCCCCAAAGTAAACGGCAGGTGGGAGGTACAGCTGGAGCCAGCTCAGGTTTCAGCCTGGGACACTCCTTCCTTGCTTTAAGGACAATGACAAGTTAGTTCCCTCTGCCCTGGAAATCCCACTTCTATAAAATCTAAAAGAAGAAATAAGCTCCATGCCCAAACATGTTTGTTCCAACCTCGTTTATAATGGAAAAGTAATTAACTGAGAAAACCCTAAGTATTCCACCGAGGGGCCAAGGTTAACGATGTGACCCAGCTGAGTGACTTCCCTGGGCTGAGAAGTGGAAACAGCATGTGAGAATGTGAGATGTGCCTGGGGGCCGGGGGGTCGGTGTTGAGAGAAGCGGGGACCCGGGTTGGCGCCTCATATGCACGTTGGATTTGAATCCTGCTCTGCCCCTTTCCGGCCTGTGCCCTGGGTCCGCCCGAGCCCTGCAGGCCTTTCCTTCCTCGTGGAAATGGAACTGATCCTCAGGGCCGACCTCCTCAGCTTCCCTGGCATTCAAGAAGTTAATGCCCTGGAGAGCTGGCGCCCCTGGGTGACAGCATGACAGTGAGGGCTGCTCTGAGCGGCCCTGAGTCCCCCCAGAGAACAGGCATGCTGGAGCTCCTACCCCAGCCCCTCAGAATGGGGCTATTTGGAGACAGGCCCTTTAAAGAAGTGATTTTGTTCAAATGAGGCCACTAGGGTGTCCTTATAAGAGGAAATGTGGACATAAAAAGAGACCGGGCATGGGGGCGCCAGCCTGTGAGCCCAGAGGCTTGGGAGGCTGAGGTAGGAGGATCCTGAGTTCAAAGTCAGCCTCAGCAACTGAGGTCCTAAGCAACTTAGTGAAACTTTGTCTCTAAATAAAAAAATAAAAAGGGCTGGGGACGTGGCTTCCACGGTCAAGTGCCCTTGGGTTCAAACCCTGGTACCAAAAAAAAAAGAAGAAGAAGACGACGACGACATGCGGGATGTTCCCCTGCCAAGGAGAAGCCCTGGGAGGACTCAGGAAGGGCCACCTCGCAGCCAAGGACAGAGGCCTCGGGAGGAGCCAGCCCTGCTGACTTCGCCTCCAGAACTTGGAAAAGGTGAATTTCTGCGGCTTGAGCTCCCATCTGTAGTATCGCGTTGGCAGTGAACCCACATGCCGAGCCCCGGCGGGGACCGAAAGCTGGGGACAGGGGATGTAGTCAGTGCAGGCCCTGGATTCCACCCGTACCACATACCACACTCACACACTCTCTCTCTCTCTCTCTCACACACACACACACACATACACAATTGACATTACGCTGTGACAATACACTGACTATCTCTTGTCAGACTCTCTCCTGGAGAAGAGTACTCTCCTCCTATTTCAGAGTTGAAGAAAACTAAGGCTCAATATAAAAAAGGGCTGGAGATGCGGCTCCACAGGTAAACACCGCGGGCTCACTGCCTGGTACCAAAGCAAAACCCAAAACCCTGAGGCTCAGCTGGTGAGGGAGAGGACTCCACTGGAATCAGGTGACTGTGACTCCAAAGCCCCTTCAAAGCCAGCCTCCAGCATCCACCCCCAGGGCCCTCCTTGGGGGAGCTGTGTCCTCCTCTTACATCCAGCACCTGAGGCCCAGAGAGGCACCTGCAGACACTGTGGCCAAGATGCCGCGTGTGGACTGGAGAACATTCTGGCCTTAGGAATGGATGCTGAACAAAGGATATCTCCTGCCTCCTTCTGGGGGTTAGGGGGTCCCCACTCCTGGCATGAGCAGAGGGTTTTGACCCTCCTGGGGCCGCAGTGTGGTAGAGTGGGTGGAGCAGGGGACTGGGTCAGGCCACCCAGGGTCCATTCCCGGGATGTGGCCCTGGACATGTCTTTACTTCTCTGAGCCTCAGTCTCTTCATACGCGAAATGGGAACAGCAATCCCTACCTCAGATGGGTGTGGGAGGTCAGAGAAGGGGGAGGGAGCCCCTGGACACAAAGGGATCCATGCTGGGTCCCTCCCTGTGTGGGGTCAAGGAAGGCAGCAGACAGGAGACCGCTCCTTGACTAAGCTCACCCCGATGCAGGATGTGGCTCAGTGGTAACCAACTCCCCACCCCCCAGTTAGTAACCAACAATGTGGCTGGGCTGGGGTGTCCCAACCCCAGAGAGAGGCTCCCCCCCCCCCACTGCCACAGGAGGGTGGGCAGAAGTGGCCAGGAGGCAGCAGCACAGAGGATTCACGAGAACGGCAGTGGGCATTCTCCACGGGTGAGGTCATCACCTCCCACTCCCCAGGGCAGCAGTGGGCAGTGGCAGGACTCAGGGCTGGGACACAGGCTGCTGTAAGGTCCCAGCCTGGTTCAGGGCTTGTCCCTCCCATCCTGGGCGCTGAGCAGAGGAAGAGCCAGGGAAGCCAAGCAGCTCCCGCTTGCCCACGAGGTGCCGTGGTGCCACTTAATCCTCCCCAGGACCTCACTGGCACTGACTCACCAGCCCCAGCTGGTGCTCAGGGGACACAGAAGTCTAGTTAGACTTTGGAGTCAAATATGTGAGCTCTGACACCTGCCCCTGCCTAGTGACTTTGGCTCTCTGAGCCTCCGTTTTCCTCCTCTGTAAAATGGTGACATCAGTCCCTGTCTTTTCTGCATGACACAGGTGCGTGCATTCGGCAGCAGGTTCACATTCTACTGCTGCGGAGTTGAGCCTCAGAATGCCCAAGTAAGGCGACAGGTCCCACAACCTGCAGGTGGACGGCAGTATCTGAACCCCATCTGAGTCTTCCTGCCCTCCTGCTGTTGTGGAGTGGCCAGTGTGGTCCCTGGCCCCCAGAGGGCCCCCAGGAGGTGGCTGGAGAGGCGAGGCTCCTTGGAACAGGAGTGGCCCAGATTTCCTGTGGAGCCGCAGACCCCAGCCCTGGCAGGGCTCAGGGTCACCCTGCAGCTGGTGTTCCAGGCAGTGGGGAGGAACACGCCTGGAAGCCTTGCTTGCCAATGGCATCCTGCGCACTAAGGCCGTGGCCCGGCATTGTTTCGAGGCCCTCCCAGCCCAGGGCGCACTGAGGGATTTCCGCAGCCTGCCAGGACTGCCTTCACTTTCTGGAAGAGCTTTCCCAGGTGGCCAGGGTGGGGGTCGAGCTGGCCTAGACCCAGACCCTTTGCCGGGGCAGGGAGTGCTGGGAAGGGCAGGGTCACAGCACCAACATCCTCTCCACCTGACAGGTCCTGGACCCAGAGTCTACCCTGCACAGAGACAGTGTCCCCCACGCTCGCCTCTCCTGCCGAGGGGAGAGAGGGTGGTGTCTTCTTGTCGTTTTGCTGTGGCCGAAGTCAGGGCCCTTGGGCTCAGATTCCAGCCCTATAGGAAGGTGCTAAATTGGCAGGTCCCCCTTCTCCGTGCCTTCAAGGGAGGCTGGATAGCCCCTCGGGTCCCTTCACACTGCCCAGAGAATAGCTCGGGATCTACCTGCTGCCCCTTCTTGCTCTGGGGTCCGTAAAGCTTAAATTCCTTGCAGGGGGCTGGGGACAAAGCTCAGTTGGCAGAGTGCCTGCCTGGCATGCACAAGGCCCTGGGGCCAATCCCCAGCACCACACACACACACACACACACACACCCACACACATTCCTTGCAGACAGTCAGATTCTCTCCCGTGTTTGGCACGTTTTAGAAGGACGGTGTCAGTGCCCACCATGCATTCTAATGCTTCCAAGAGGTGCTCAGCTCATGGAACGTATCTTGGCCACTCCATGGCTGTCCCTCTGTGAGCCAGGAGGTGTCTGTCCTGCCTGGCAGGGCAGAGGTGGTGGCAGAAGCCTAGAGCTGGTGAAGGAGCTCAAGCCTCCTCCAGACCAGCTGGATACGCTGGGCACCAGAATTAAAGCAGAAAGCCACACCGGGGAGTCTCGAGGCTGAGAGGAGCCTGAGCCCTTGTCCCCTCCCCAAGCTCCTCAACCTGGTGGCTAAAGGCTCTCTCTGCTCCAGCCTGTGGCTGTACTGCCCACCTGTTCCACGGCCCTAAAACTGAGACACGGAGGGCCACTGGGGGCTGCCTTCGCAGCGCCAGCGGCATCCCTGGTGAGGTCAGAGCTTTGGAATTAGTGAGACAGGATCACCCTGAGGATTCTGTGCTCACAGCCAGTGACTCATGGCCAACAGCCTCCCGGGCAGAGACTGCCAACTTGGAATGCCCAGCCATGGCCGCAGGCTCAGTTCGCTTGGCCAAGCACCTTCTGAGGGACGGCTGGGGTGGCAGAGGCCCTGCCTTTGGCTCCAAGCCTCTGACAGCTCTTCACACCCACCTAGGGGGAGAGGCCAGACTCCCACCTGGGTTCCTATTAGGCAAGGTCACATTTTAGATGTGACCTTGGGCAAGTCAATTTCGCTGAAGGTTTCTCCACTAAATAATACTTGCCTCACAAGAGTGGAATTGAATGAGGTAATGTGTGTAGCAAGTGCTCAGCCAAGGGCACCTTTTAAGGAACAGCGGGTGCAGTGGAAGGGCTGGGCCCAGCTCTGGCCCCACCCCTCACCCATGAATGTCCTCTTGCTCAACCCCTGCCCGCTTCGGCCTTTTGTGTGAACGAGCAGACACTGCCGGCCCTGTTGGCTCACCAGGAGGTCGAGATCTTGTACTTTATTACAGAGGACTAAGGAGGGCAGTGCCCTGGCCTGGGGGCCAGCCAGCCACTCACAGGCCTTATGACCTGGGACATGCTCTGTA